TCGTCGGGCAACGAGGAAAATGCGAAACGCGACATCTTTCTCCCGTTCATTTTTATTTTCCGTTGCACTTATGTTGTTTTACACCTTTGCAGAGAAAAAATGGCGTCTAAAGCTCAGGGAGGCGGAATTGTAATATCTCGCCTCCCCTGAATTCAGACGTCTCGATGCGAGGCTTATCGATCTGAGACGAATTTATCGGTGCTGAAAACTAGCCAATGTGGGACCCGGAGAGCTAATTACATTTATGACGACAACCACCAAAAATGCAGAAGACGCGAGTCTTTAAAATATATATGAAATTCGTAAGAGAGATCTTTTTCAAGATTTTTTGCTTTCGATTTGCTTTCCTTTACACATCTTTTCTTTTACTTCTTTTGTTTTTATTCTTTTTTCAATTACGTTACGTGTTTTTAAATTCTAACCTTTCTTTTTTTTCCTTTTTCGTTCATTGCATTTACGAGAGAGCTTTTTTATTTTTCTTATTGTCACTCGGGTGGATAATTAATTATTTTCTTTTTTTTTTTTTTTAATAAACAAACAAGCATATAACATCAATTGACTTGCAACCATGCAAATTTACGACACGAACGCCTGATCGAATTGTCAAATCCTTGACACTTGTCTTCACTCTAACGATTCTAACACCTACAGTTATATAGAAGAAAGAGGTTATGGTAACCATGTTCATTTCATATACACATGACATCGCTTACAGTATTCACGTTCTCATTCTGCTTCGAATATATTATTCGATCGTACCGTTATCGTTTGTGGACGAAAGTATGAGGGAAATAATTCTTGATAAAAAATAACAACGTGGAATATATTTGTAATTAATTAAAAGAAGCGTGCAAAGAATTCGCAAAGAACGATATCCGTAATCTAGAAAAATTTTCAATTTTTCCTTTTGAGAGAGATGTAACGAGATTTTCATTTTCCTTTTAATTAATTCTAAAATTATATGATAATTAAAAACGCTCTTTTTCTTATCGCGAGGGAAATGAAAATTAATTTTTCCTTTTTTTAAAAAACGTAGATTAATTCAATAAAATTAGCAATTCCGTAATTACTACTTTTCAAACCATCCTGATATATTCTTCCTTACTGCGGAAGCAATGGGAACAAATCTAACGGGTATTTTTAAAATATTTAAAAAATTAATTGGCACACTTATATAGTTCCTCCCAAACGAGAAACCCGATACGATCTTTTTGTCCAAGCACAAAATTCAACTATCCTCCCACTCTCCCCCTGTTCTTAATTTTCTGACGATATCCAAACGATTGGTGAAATGTCGCAGAGTCCGCTAAGAGCGTGGTGGACGTGCAAGGAACTTCGGAGGAGCGTGCCTCGTATTACATGGGCGAGGTTGTGCGGCGGAAAAGCGAGGGCAGCGACAGCACGCCGTTGAAAGCAGCGAGTGCGCAATCGAGAGGAGGCGGGCCACTGTTGACACATCGAAGAGTGTCGTTCGACAACAATCAAGACGCGAACGGATTGGTGGCCTGCAACGCAGGAGAGAAGGTGATTCGTTGCCGGAACAACAAGTGCGGCAATACGGCAACACTGGCCGAGGCTAAGAAGACGTACAAAAGCTGTCACAACTGCACCTGCCTCTATTGTTCGAGGGAGTGCAGAAGGGCGCACTGGCAACGCCACAGGAGGACCTGTTTGCACTCCCGTGCCGGGAGCCTGTGCAAGCAGGTGTTGTCCTCGGCGAAGGAGGATCCCGTCACTCTTAAGCACATCTCTGCGTTGGCGAAACGTGGCCACGCGTTCCACGGCCGCGGCGCCGTCAAGTGTTTCTTCTCGAGTCCCGAGGCGGCTGAAAAATTCGTTGCGAACGGTTTCGTGGATCTGGGCGAGCCCACGTACGTCCGTTGGTCCGATCTGTTGGCGAGAGAGATGGGGGCGGAGTTGTACGCCGAGGTGATCAGACTTTGCAAATCGTACAACCCTGACACGAGGCTCGTGCTGTACGTGG